TGAGCTGGTGTCCCATCCTGCTGAAACACATACTGACCATCTGGATAGTTTCTGTTTAACCAGGAAATAACCTTCTCTTGCAGGAGGTGGATATACTCATCACTGTCAATTTTTTGACCTTTTTTCACAAAAACTGGTGGACACTTTTTTTCATCACTTGCTATCACGCCAAGTACCATCGCAGAAGCAGGGTTTTTTGATGACAATGAATACCTGATATTCTCAGGGACTTCTTTTACTGTTTTAGCAGTACTAAGGTACCTTGTGTTACGACGATTTGTAACTTTATCCACAGTGAAAAGTTTTTCATCAGAGAAGATTGTCACACGCCCAGGGAAAGATTTTTGCCAGTTTAACAATTTTTTGCATCGCTCTTTCCTACTTTCTTTCTGTTTATTAGTGATAAGATGCTTAGTCACAACAGCTCTGGATTTAAGGTTCAAATCTTTCATAACTTTTTGCATTGTGGAGTTGGAAACATTGGCTTCCCTTGCCAACGGATGGAGCACAAAGGATTTCGCTTGACTTTTCTTTTGACAGACCTTAAAAGCTGAGGTGATCATTTCACAGGTTTTGGCTTATTAAAAGGTCGTTTGATATCTCCTGTTTCATGAAAAAGTTTTCTTACTCGAAAAATTGCTGTTCTGGAGCAGTTTAAAGCCTTTCTGATATCTGATGTAGTCTTATCCGATTGCAACATTTGCAGAATGCTTCGTCTTTTTGATTCTTGCAAATCCATTTTAATTAAATTTTTTTTATTTTTACGTTGTTTTTTTTATTTCTGTGTTAATATCATTGCATAATTTGTGAACAAATAGATCAACCGATATCTACAAGCAGGGATAGAGCCTTAAATTTGAACGTAACACAGTTGTGTGGTCACCCAGTATATATATATATATATATATATATATATATATATATATATATATATATATATATATATATACATATACAGTGAGTTGCCAAATTATTAGAGACACTTTACTTTTTAAGTAATTTTAAATGATTTTTGCGAGCAAATAAATTGTTTTAAAAAAAAATTTTTTGTATATTTTAGTTACAAATGTAATTATAATTGTTTTTAAACTGTGGCAATTGTGTCAGTCCACCCTATCTGTCAAAAAGCTAGGTTATTTATCAATTAGCAGTGAATTGTTGAAAAGTGCGATTGGAGTATATTCAAAATTGATTTTAATTATTTATTTTTGGAACATTTTTTTGCAAGTATTTCGAATTCAGAACTATTGAAATTTAGGTAATAATTTATTATTTTTCCTAATTTTAATGCATAAATCCTGACTTGTAATGTAACCATTCTCACCTCCAATTGATTTTAGTATTGGCAAGTCTTTAGATTTAACCCCAAGAAAAAGTAGGGAAGTAAAAACTTTACTTCTTCATTCTAATTCTCAGAGAGAGATAGCAGCAATTGCAAGTGTTTCAAAGTCAGTAATGAGCCAAATAAAAAGAAAAATTGATACAAATATGTCTCTTGAACCAGACCGTGTTGGTAAAAGTAGCAGAAAAAGAATCACTACTCTAAATTGCAACCGTAAAATTAGGGACATATAGTGTGGCTTGACAATGATAAACAATGAAAAAATTAACGTCTCTAAAAGGACAGTTCAGAGAAGGTGAAGAGAATTTAATGGGTCGACATCCAACTAAAAAACCACGTTTTACTGAAGCCATGAAAAAAGCTTATTTGTTCAATGATGCCGAGGGAAAAAACTCCACTAAGACTGCTTTTTGGAAAAGGTTAAACATCCTGCAAGTGTAATGGCTTGGTCTGTAATCTTAGCTAAGGGTATGGGCTGCTTTTACATTGTGGAAGGGACCATTGTATGGGCTGCCATTACATTGTGGATGGGCTCCTGCCTGCTTTCAAGTACTGGCTTGTGCTGGTCCTGCCTTATGATCCTATCCACAATACAAACCAGATCTTGGAATGATTCCCTGGTAATGAAGAGTATATATTCATGCATGACTCAACACTGTGCTATAAAGCTAAAAGTGTTACCGCATTCCTGAAAGAAATGTAGGTGTTTTGCCATGGCTGGGTAATTTACCTTATCTGAACCCCATAGAAAACCTGTGGGCATAAATAAAACAGGAAATTGCTAAAGAAATCATCACTACCGAGCAGCAATTGATAGTGATGATTGCTAAAGATAATAATAAATCAATTTTTTCAATATTCTTATATTTTCCAAAGCATTTGATATTGTTGATCATGACAAGTTGCTACTAAAGTTTGTGAATATTATAACTGGCTCACATCTTGGATCGCAGCTTACTTATCTAATCCTCGCCAAAGAGTAAAAACAAGTAACCACACCACTGACTGGAAATATATACAAACCAGAGTACTTCATGGGTAGTGTTCTCACCCCTATCTTAATCATTCTCTTTATTTCTGATATAAGCACCTACCTCCCACCTGAAACCATTCTCAAAAAGTATGCTGACGACATGCTGACCTACATTATCTATGACAAAGTGCCTGCCAATTTACCTCAATCCATTGCTGATGGCTTCGCTCTATGGTCTGTAGCCAATGGAATGAAACTTAAAATGTCATTAGAATCAATGCCCAGTGCTCCAACACTCATACTTTACTGTATCTTATACTCAATAAAACTGAACTTGATATTGTATTCAACTATAAATACCTCGGAATCCTGCTCAATGAGAATCTTGATTGGGATGAACAATCGATAAAGGTGCACAACACTACAAAATCAGTGCCATTTCTACTCAAGCGCCTTAAACAAATCGGACACACTCAGCCCAATCTACAACAAGTCTGCAGATCTTACGCTATTAGCCACATGATATATAGTGCCTCAGTTCTTACCTCTTGCAGTCATGCAGCAAAAAAAGATTTAACATTTCCACAAAAATGCCTTGCACATCATCGAAGTTGATGCAACCAACTCGAGCCGTCTCTATATTTGTTTTGACATTGAAGAATTACTTGACAAGACATGTATTAATATCCTTAAAAAGATCCTTGCAGACACAAACCATCCGATAACCACTAAATTACCTTGCACCAATAGCAGAAACCCAAACAGATTCCCATTCACTCTAAATACCACTATCACTACTACTTATCAGCAATCCTGTGTTCTAAAATACCTTCATATTTTTTGTGATGGCGTCAGTGACCTTTACCTCCTACGAAACATTGGCAACTCCGCTGCTCTTTCAAAACATAAATGATCAGTTCTTTTTTCTCATTTTTTACTCATCATTTAACAATAGATAAAATTGAACTATTCATTATTTGTAATGCTAATCAATTTTAAATAAAGATTTATAAAAGTAAAAAAAATATATATATATATATTTTAATTAATAATTTATAATAAATAAAACATAAAATTGTATATATATATATATATATATATATATATATATATATATATATATATATATATATATATATATATATATATATATATATATATATATATATATATATATATACATATATATATATATATACATATATATATATATATATATATATATATATATACATATATATATATATATATATATATACATATATATATAGATATATATATATATATATATATATATATATATTACTAACCTGTAGATTGCATAGTATATCATTAAATGCAGTTATGTTTGGTATAGTAATAGAATCACGATCACTACGAACAGTTCCAATCAGAGAAAACACTAAATGAAGAATATGTGTGTTCAGCAAGTGTTTCTTTTTCTCAAGTAAAAATGCCAAAATCTAAACAGTAAATTTTTTAAGTTATGATTTATAACCCTGCAGATTAGATTAGTAAACTATTAAAAAAAAATTTTAAATCAATAACCTTGTAACCATCAATTCGAAACATTTCTCTCTTTGCAATTTTACTGCTTTGCAAAATACATGTTAAGGCTTTTAATGAAGCATAGAGCTCACTGAGCTGGGTCACCATTGCAATTAAACACAACAAAATTGACATTCCCCCAATACTGACAAAAGATGAAGCAACTTGATTCGGACAAAATATTCGTATACCAGCAGATCCAATTAAAAAAAAACCAATTGGTCGATATGGTCCATTTAAATGTAATGAAGAATTAGTAAGAAACTGAATAGGGGTATGTTTGTCTTCAATATTAATGTTCATCTGCAAAAAAATTTCATAAAATTGTTTTTCAATAAGTAAAATAAAACAAAAAACAATGAAAAAAAGTTTACCTCACTAGCTAATAATTCAAGATCAGATTTTGAACATTGGGAAAACAACTTGAAAAGAGTAGTCAAAGTAAGATTATAAGGGTTCAATGAAAGAAGAATCTTCTCTTCAGAAATAAGTGACTTTTGATCTATGTTGTCTTCCTGAAAAAAAATCCAGTTTATTAGTTAAAAACTATTGAGTCAGTATAGAACTGGGTTATCTAGCGGGGTTTCTGTATTATCAAGTTACATTCATAAATACACTACTTTTTTGACTTGTTTTTTAGAATTTTTTTGAATTAATTTTAAAACTTACATATCTTTAATAGGGCTGTACCGGATTTCGGCTCCGACTCCTGCTCCGGCCAAAATCCGGCCATTTTTACAAATCCGGCCCATATCCGGCTCCGGCAAAAAATTAGCAAATCCGGCATAATTTTAGCCGGAGTTTTGAATTTTGGTCAAATATTTATTACATTTTTTTTGCCCGTGTTTACATGTATACCTTTGTAATTCTATATTTTATGAACTTTATGTTTGTTTTGGGATTTGTATTTATATTTCTTTATAAGTTAATAAGTTCAGCCTAATTTTAAACAACAACGCAACAAAAAATTCTGAAGGAAAGACGCACAATATTCTACAATGATGCAGGTGTAAAGACTATGATGTCAACCCTAATCAAGTGATTAGATGAGCGTTTTAAAACCATTGAAAGGAGAAACCTCTTTATATAGTGACGACGCTGGTTGATCCACAATATAAAACTCAATTCTCCTCATTACAGGCAACAGCTGAAAAAGCAAGATTGAAGTCAACCTGAGCATGCTGAGCAGAAGATTGACAAAACTGAAGAAAATCCAGCAAAATAAGCCAGGCTTAATAATTTTTCTACATAATCATCATTACTCTGGCAATTTATTGATAAAATTATTCAGTATATGCCCGCTGTTGGCACAGCACATGAACAACAATTACTAAAAGTCATTGACACTCAACTAAGGCAATATCGGGAAGAACCAGAAATAAATAGACATACTGATCTACTACAGTGGCGCTGACAAAATCCCGGAAAAAAAGTTCAAAAGAATTACTATAAACTTTTAAAACATATGGCCTGTAGAATTTCTATAGAATGTCTATTAATTTATATATAGAAATTGCTATAAAACTTTTTAAATAACAACTATGAAATTTAACAGAAAACAGCTGTCACTTGGTATTCTGAATAGTCCACATTGTTGACCATTCTTAACACCAAGTAGGGATATACAGGATTTTGGCTCCTGTAATTTTGTTTCGAAATCCAGCTGCGGCTCCAATTCCGGCCGGATCTGTCAATAGAAATTAATTAGTAAAAATATACAGCTTATAAATTTACTAGGTATTTTTAAAAAAATAACAAGTAAAGCTCATGCTTAGATTAAATTTGACTATATTTAAGCATGCCTTTACTAAATTTTTAAAATATTTAAACATTTTTTTTTGCTGGAAACTTTGCTGATTTAAACCTAAAAGACTTTTATTACCTCCCCTCCCTCCTCTTTGTGAAATGATAAAATTTGTAACCTCAATAAATATGGAGTAAAAGGAAAACAATTACAGTGGATTGTGGCTTTTTTAACTGGTTGGATACAAAGAGTGGTTCAGGACAATATTTTTTCTGTTGTAAAATGCTGTTCTTAGTGGAGTTCCATAAGGTTCTTACTTAGACTTTTACAACTGGTTGTTTATATTAACAATGTATCTGTTACAATAAAAAATGAATGTAAATGACAAATTTAATGACATTAAAATTATGTCAAATTTGAATTCCTCAAATGATGGTTTACAGTTGCAAAACGATTTAAATACAGTAGAATCCCATTAACTCAGACTGAGTTTGAAACTTCTAATGGTACTATCTGGAAAATAAAAAGTCACATCACATGCAACAGCAAAAATGTAATTTATTACCTTAAATGTTTGGCATGCAAAAAACAAGGCACATATACTCGCAAATACTAACAATTTAAGATTACGAATAAACGGACATATTTCTAATTGCAGAACTGGTCTATCAACTAATAGATTTGACAACCATGTTTATACCTGTCAATGTTCCCACCAAAATGTAATTGAACTTTTTTTTCAACTTTTTGTTTTCCATGAGCTTAACAATGAAAGTTTTTTGTTATCATACCAAAAACATCTGCACAAACAAAAACATGATACTTTTAATTGATACTTCCTGTGTATTATTAGAATTTCATTTATCAAAATAGTTACTCATAGCAACAATATGCAATTAAACTTATTTTATATACAAAAATCTTGCTACAACACCAAAACAGCACTACTTATGATTTTTTAAAAGGCCTCTAGTGCTTAGGGCTCTAGTGCTTAGGCCTCTAGTGCTTAAAGTTTATTTAATTAATTATATTAAAATACTTTGTATTGGTGTATTTTTTTAAAAATTAAAAAAAAAATTCAATAATGAATATTTTGAGAAAAAAAGATTTACTGTTGTTTATTGGCTTGACTATCTTTGACATTCAGACTATGTTTTCTTTAAATGACATTCAGACTATGTTTGCTTTGAATGACATTCAGACTATGTTTGCTTTGAATGACATTCAGACTATGTTTGCTTTGAATGACATTCAGACTATGTTTTTTCAGTACTATGTATTATTCTGTTATAGCTCTACTAATTGGCTTTCCTTCAGACATTTTTAATAAATAAAATTTAATCAAAGTTTAAGTGAATCGAAGATATCATTGAAAATGTTTAGTTTGTTTAATTATATTTGATGCAAAGGTATTTTAATTTCAAATTTTCTCAGTTTTACATTTTAATTGATGTTTTTTAACTTTTAACAAAACAATCAATAATAAACAGAATTTAATCAAAGCTTTACCAAATTGAATATGTTATATTTAATTATATTTAAAGTATTTATTTTTCAAGCGCCTAAAGTTTAATAATTTATTTTTCAAGCGCTTAAAGTTTAAAATCTTGTTCACATTTAATTAAAATATTTAATTAAATGTGAACAAGATTTGGGTAATATTTTTACAAATGATCTAAAATGAAATTAAATAATCTAAAGAAAACTATATTTGGTATAATTAAACACTCAATCGTAGGTTTTGATGCATTTGGAAATTTTGGAAGTTTTAAAGCATTTGGAAACTTTTTATACTGTATATATTAGACTCTAATAGAGCTCTTTATTTTAGTTTGGTATCCATTTAGAATAGCTGACATAAAACTATTAGAAAGTGAACAGTGCGGCAAAAACAATCAAATTAACAATATTTGAAAAAAGATGAAAAAGAGGGAATTTGATTCAGATATTCAAATTTTAAAAGATATCAATTATTATAATTAATTTTAAAAAGATAATTATGTAAAATTGTATAAGCAACTTAGTTTTCAGATCTCAACCACAAGATGTTTCATTTTGCCACCACAAGAGGTCGCAACATGAAATATTAATGAGAAATATGCAAATTTAAACCCTAAATAAATTTATTACAAATAGAAGAGCAAATTATTATAATGACCAAGTAAAATATTAAATTCAACATTAGCAATTGAATTTAAAAATAAATCATACAATTTTTTTATAAATTTTGATTTTTATGAAAATTTTTAAATTTTATGATTTTTATAATATTGTACTCAATGTAATCAGTTACAACTAATATTATAATAATAACAACAATACTAAAAATATACTCAGTGTAATCAGTTACAGCTAATATCATAATAATAACAACAATACTGAAAATAATAATAAAAGTCATCTTAAATTTTATATAATGCATAAAAGTCATTTTAAAGTTTATCATAACATATTTAATGTAGTTTTATATTAGCTTGAATAATTAAGGAATACATAACCCCTAAAAACTTGGTTGAAAAAAGAAAAAATTTAAAGAGGATAAGATTTATAACTAATGTTTAAATTTAACTTTATAAGAAATTTTCAATTTTAAAAAAAAAAAAATTTTAAGTCATAACAAACCTCATAAACTCCCATTAGACAAGGAGCTTGAAAACAACCCAAATAACCAGGTCCTAATGAATTTATACATGCAATTGTGTCATCATTTAAAGGCTCCTCAAAAATTGCCATTGGCCCTAATCTCCAGATTATATTATCAACATGACACTGTCGAGGATGTGTTCCAATATATGCTAATGTTTTGCAAGTATTTACATCAGCCAAAGCTGGAATTCCTTGAAAAATGTATTTTATCTAAATTCATGAACAAAAAGTAAAAAAAATTAAAATACCAATTTAAATAAAAAAAGTCATTATTATATATATATATACATATACATACATACATACATACATACATACATACATACATACATATATATATATATATATATATATATATATATATATATATATATATATATATATATATATATATATATATATATATATATATATATATATATATGTATATATACTAGTGATCCTCAAGGGAATTCCGAAACGGTAATTTCCGGGAATCTCGTTGGTCAATTCCCGTTCCCATTCCCGTTTTTTTTCGAGAAATTCCCAGGAATTTTTTAGATTTATTCTTTTTATTGTAGTTCATTTTAAATTACTTTTCTTATCGATTTCTTTTATTTACGCTAAACTAAAGTCAGTTTCACGCTGTTTGTTTTAATTACTTTTCTTAATTTCTTTTTATTAACGCTAAACTAAAGTTTGGCGTACTTCTTTAATTATTACTGCTGACCTCGTGTTTGTTTTTTTCTCCATATAAAATTAAATTGTGTTGAAATTTTGATAAATATTAGTTGAAGAAACATGGAAATGGTTTTAAATTGAATTGTCATCGGGTTCTGAGCTATCTTGAAAGTTTCAGAGCTCTAGCTGGTCGGGAAGCGGGCTTCAAAGATTCTAACCGGACGGACAGACAGGCAGACGCACAAGAAAGTAACCTTATAAAAACATTGTAAAAACACGTAAAATTAATTAGTAATTAGTTATTCTATTAATTAGTATTAGCATGGAAGTATAATACAGAAGGAAGTTCATCAGTGCAATTTCAAGTCTTCCCGGGAGTATGCTCGTAACCGACAATAAAAAAAAAAAAGAGTTTCACAGGACAAAAAAACAACAAAAATTCACTGAAATGATTTTTATCAAAACATCAAAAAATGTATATTCCATAGATATGCCACTTCGTTTTAACCATTACTTGTTATAATTATCTAACAGAACCTTAATTACAACTTGGTAAATATTTCGAATCACTATATTTCAAAAGCGTATATTAGTAAAAGCAGATTTTCTTGTTTTTAATCATAACACAACATTTGATTAAATAGACTACTTAATAAATTTTTAAAAAATTAAAAAAATTGTTCTGTAAATAACTAAAGATTATAGTTTTGTTGGGTTTATATCATAACTCCATTCATGCTAAATATACTCCATTCATTTAACATAAAGTTTGACAAAATATAGCTCATTGCCGTTTCGTTGTCGCCATTTTTAATTTTTGCAATTGAATATTGTTGGCGAACCGCCAAAGTACTTATTTTAAAATTTTAATAAACGTATCTATTTGCGTCATCGTATAAAAATTAAGCGTTTAAGTACAGTCTTGATGTAGTTTTCTTTTGTTTGAGAAACAAAAGGTTACAAGCATAGTCCCGAAGATTTTCAAAGCGGTTTGAACTTCCATCTGTTTTATACTTCCATGGTATTAGTTATAGTTATTTTTTAAAGTGTAAAGTGCATTGTGCAAGTTTTTTTAAAAGAAAGTGAAAAAGTTATTTACGACAAATTATCAAAGGTATATAAATATAGTACATATTATGTTATTTATTTTTCTAAATCTTTTTTCTATTTCTTTTCTTTTTTTTTATTTCTTTTCTTTTTTCTTCATTTATTTTATCTTCATATCTTATCATTTAATTTTAAATAGCATGCGTTTTGTGTGGAAGCACTTCAAAAGGGAAACGGGCAACAAAGATAAAGCACGCTGTGACGTAGACTTGAACAATCGAAAGTGTAGTGCTGTTCTTAATTGTGCTGGAGGTTCAACAAAGGGTTTGATAGAACATCTAAAGCGTGTTCATCAGATACTTGATCCATTGAAATCTGGACCGACAACTAGCAACCAAGCTCAACCAAGCACAAGCAGCACTGGCAATCCTCCAGTAAAGAGGCAAAAGCTGATGACAGATTTTACTAGAGCATCGTTTGAGAAAACCATTTCTAAAGAAGTTGCTTTAAATGGATTGAACTTTGAACAGATCATTAACTCAGATATAATAGCAGAGCATGTGAAAGAGAAGTTTCCAACGAAAAACTTCCCAAAGAATGGATCTGGTGTTGCAAAGATTGTTCGAGGTTTTCATGAAGACATCAAGGCTAAAATAAAATCATGGATTCAAACTCATCTAGCTGAATGACATTTCTTTTCAACAACCCTTGATGAATGGACTTCTACTGCAGGGCGACGTTTCTTGAACATTAATCTTCATTATTTTGAAAATAGTGTTGATAAAGAAATCAATTTGGGCATGGTTCCAATTTATGGAAGTGCAACTGCTCTTAACATCAAAAAACTAGTAAGTTGATATTATAATCTTTTTTTTTTTTAGGTTTCTTATCATTTTATTTTTTATTTTTTTATTAACAGTTCGAAGCAAGATTGATGGAATTTTGTTTGGTTCCAGAGAAACACATTGTTGGCACTTCTGGTGATGGTGCGAGCGCTATGGTATCATTTGGTTCTATGATCGCATCAGAATATGTCCAGTGCAGCGATCATAGAATTCATCTGGGTGTTACTAAAGTTTTTTATCTAAAGAAACTGTCAGCAGATATTCCAGTGAATGACGACGATGATGATGTCTTTTTCGTTGAGTGTGGAAATGAAGATGAACCTGATAAAGATGTACATGATGCAGGTGAGGACACAGAATCAAACGATGAAGAGGAGGCCGATTCACTTCAAATGGTTTTCACTTATCAATCAACAATCACCAAATTGAGAAAAATTGTGAGACTTTTTCAACATCGGTCAAAAATGAAATTCTTCAAAAGTTCGTTAAGAGGATGAACAACGGGAGAGAACTTAAGCTGAAGTTAGATTCAAAGACTCGTTGGGGAAGCCTTCATGATGCTTGCGAAAGGTTCTTGAAGTTACTTGGACCTGTGAAGGAAGCTCTGAACCACAGGGAGATTGACAAAACCTACTTATGGGCAGATATTGACTCAAAAAGATTGGAGGAGCTGGTAGAAGTTCTGAGTCCAGCGAAGTTGGCAATTCAATTCTGGTCAAAGAAATCAGTAAATCTCATCGATTGCAACACAACTATCAAGTTTCTATTGGGCAATCTAGAAATGCATGATCATCAGCTCTTGCAGGACATCTTCTTGGCTATCAAAGAGAAAAACAACAAACGCAGACATGACGTTCTTCAATCACTCATCCTTTACTTCCACGACATCAACAGCATTAATGGGCCAAATTACTTTGCTACATCGACTGTTGCAGCTATGAGCAAACTTGCTGTGAAATTGATGGAAAGACTCTTCAGTACTGAAAATGATGATTGTGTGGAACAACCTAAACAGCAAGAAGAACCATCAGCATCAACATCACTGCAGGTTCAAAGAAGTTTAGCTGAGAAACTGACACTTGCCATGAAAGCTTCAAGAGAGGTCACCAACAAGCAGGCGGGCAAAGTTATTGACTACAAAAAGGAGATGCAGATGTATGCGAAGACAAAATTACGCTCACCAACTCTGGATAGACTTTTCGAGGGACTGAATACAATAAAAGCAACATCAGTAGCTGCAGAACGTCGTTTTTCGGAAGCAAATATTCTTGTTCGCAATCGCCTTTGTGACGAGAACATCGATGCTATTTCTTTTCTTAAATGTTATTTCCAAAATAAATTAATAAAGTAGATTCCAACATAAATGTTGAGTCCTTTGTATTGTTTTTTGATTAAAAATTTTCAGAAAAAAAATACTGGAAAGCTCATTCCCGGTAACGGTAATTTTCGGGAATGAGCTTTTTCATTCCCGATATTCCCGAAATTGAAATTCCTGGGAATTTGAGGATCACTAATATATACAGTGTCCTCAAAAAAAATGAGACAGCATGATTTTTTCTTAAAAGTCATACAACTCAATGTTTTATCACTTATTTAGAAATTTGTTTCTCAATTATAAAATTAGAACTACTAATGCACTATATTTCTTAATAAAAAATAAAAAAAAATTATTTAAACTGTTGAAATTAAACTATACTGCAGAAGATAAATGAAAAAATGTTATAGATTTTATAAAATAGAGTAAAATTAATTGTAATACGAAATTTTTTTTAAATTTTTGCTTTTTAATGTTAGATAATATCTTTACACTACTTTAGTATTTAAAATTAAAAAGAATCAGAAAAAAAGGAGGAGGGCCCTTGAATTAAATACAGATCAAAAATAGATTTCTTTAAAATTATGCTATAAGTTTCCCGTTATAGTTTTGTTCTTGATAAAGTGTTACTTATGATTTTATACTGTTTTTTTGGAAATTAAAACTGTTTTTAACTTTTAATATCTTCATGATTCAAAATAATTTAAATTACTTTATTTAAAATCAAATTTTTCAGCAATTTTATATAATTAAAAAAATATAATTAAATGGCAACAATGGCAAAGAAAGATGCTTTTGATTCTACTTCTTCAAAAATTCAACAATTAAATAGGTATAAGACATTCATTCTTTTAGTATTTTAACATTTAGTTTTAACTATATCATTTATTTTTTGCTAAAACTCATATTTACCAATTTAGGAAAAAACATGTTTCAGACTTCGATAAAGATAGAAAAACTCAAATGCACAATGCTGATTGGTCTTTGCGTAATATTTCCAAAGAAGTTGGATGTAGTAAATCTACTGTTCAAAGAGTTGCGTCCAGATTTATTTCTCAAAATTCAATTAGCCGAAAGTCAGGGTCTGGAAGAAAGCAAAAAACAACAGAAAGAGAAGATCAATTGATTGTGAGGGAAGTGACGAAGAATCGTAGGATATCAGTGAATAAGATAAAGCAAAATTTAAACCTTGAACCTTTATGTAACAATACAATTGTTGCAAGAATAAAGATAGGTCAAGAGTTTACCTCAGATTGGCAAACAAAAAAGCCTTTTATAAACAAGAAAAATCGTGTTAAGAGAATAAAATGGTGCAGAGATCATTTAAACTGGACATTAGACCAATGGAAAGGTGCCATATGGACAGATGAGTCACCTTTTGTGTTACAATATGGTAATCGAGAAAGAATCTGAAAAAGAAAAGGTGAACTATGTAATCCAAAGTCACAGTAAAACATGACAAAAAAATTATGGTTTAGGGTGCATTTGTTGCTCATGGAGTGGGAAACCTGTACAGAGTTAAAGGAATCATGGACCAACATAAGTACCATTATATTTTAGTTCACCAATTAAAACCAAGTATAACACATCTATTTCCAGATGGAAACTATATATTTCAGCAAGACAATGACCCAAAGCATACAGCCCAAAAAATAAAAGATATATACATAAGGCTGGAATACCTACCTTCGAGTGGCCCAAACAATCACCTGATCTTATTCCAATTGAGAATCTGTGGTCTATATTAGATTATAAACTTAAAGACAGATCACCTAGCAATGAAGATGAATTATTTATGACACTTTCAAATGGTTGGAATTCACTGGAAGTTAGCTTGTTAACAAAACTAGTTGAAAGCATGCTCCACAGATGCCAAGTCTTAGAGTTTTATTGAATTTTTTTTTGTTCTTTATTGACAAATTTAGTGTAATAATAGTTATTATTTGATATATTCGAAATAAAGTTAAAAAATAATTGAGAAAAAATTGATTTTTAAAAAAAAATCAAGCTGTCCCATTTTTTTTTTGAGGACACTGTATATATATATATATATATATATATATATATATATATATATATATATATATATATATATATATATATATATTATATATGTATGTATGTATGTATGTATGTATATATATATATATATATATATATATATATATATATATATATATATATATATATATATATATATATATATATATATATATATATATATATATAAAAGAACTTAGTAAAAGTCTGGATCCCTAATTGTCAACCTCTTTTTCCTGATTTTTATTTCAGTTATTATGAGCTTTTCCAGACTTAAAAAAGATTGGTGAATAATACAGGGGTGGGACCGCAAAATGTGAACACTTTTCTGATTGTAATAATTAATTTTCTGTTAAATATGAACTATTTTAAATAAGAATGTCCAATGGTTGGACATTCTTATTTAAAATAGTTCATATTTAACAACTCTTTAGACACTTTCTGATGAGTGAGAGAGTACAACTACATCTAACGAGAAAATAGTTATAATAAAACAAAAACGTTCACATTTTGCGGTCCCACCCCTGTACATGGAAAAATCATGCACAGTTAAAAATAAAGCATCATTATTACATTTATTAAGTATTGTTAGTGTGTTGTCATTGTTTCTACTGTTATTAAAGTACATTTAAAATTTAAATAAAGTAAAATGTAGTGATGCTATGTTTTTAATAGGCCGGGTGAATAAAAATGAGCAGTTGCTTTTACTACTAATCAAGAGTTAAACTGAGTGTTAAAAAAAAACTTATAATCAAAGAGCTTCTAAAATAAGATAAGTAATAAAAACCCTGATTTTTCCATGATTTTTCTAAAATTTGACCTAACTTTCCCGATTTTCTCCTGATATTTTTAAAGAGATCTATATTCCCTTAACTTTCTTTGATCTAGCAGACACCCTGTTATTAAAATATAATCTTCATCTTTAAAATTTTCATATGATTTCACTTTATTTGAGACCCAACATAATACAGTTTTGAAGAACTTTTTTTGGATAATATTAGGAACTTGTTATATATTCTTGAAGGACCCCTTAAAGTATTTTTTATTCAAAAAAAAAAAAAAAAATGTAATGCAATTTTGGAGTTTTTTTGTAAAGGAATGTTTCAATGTGATATTGTTCGCTTGCTTAATGTGCCTAAGCAAACTGTGTCCAAGGCTGTCAATCAATTCAAGGAGCTAGGCCACGATGGTCGCCGTCCAGGAAGTGGTAAAAGATGAACCAACAACACGTCCATTAACCGCCAGATCATCAGTAAGCAAGTCAAGCAAAATTCGAGGGTCTCCATGTAAAAAATCGCCCAAGAAACCAGAATGAAATGTAAATCGGTGCGACAAATGGCAAAAAGGGAGCTCAACCTCAAGCCGTAAAAGCTTCAAAAAGTTCAACTGCTCACCGATGAAAATAAAAGCGTGTGGCTCCAGAGATGTTGCAACTCAAGCATTGGGGCACTGCTTGCAAATGATAGCACATCCTGTTCACAGGTGAGAAGCTGTTCACCGTTGAGCAGGCACACCAAAACAACAGGAGCTGATCTGCTGCGGCTCCCAGCAGGTCAGCCATTGTCAAACACCGCCAAAATCCGCAGCCAGCTATGGTCTGGGGCAGAATCTGCGCTAGCAGTAAAATCCCCCTCATTTTCGTAGATCAGAGAGTCAAAATTAAACAAGAAGTCTACCAACACAACATTCTCGAGACTGGTATTTCCATGGGCCCAACAGCACTTTGGCGATGTGAATTGGACGTTCTAACAGGATTCTGCCCCTGCTCACAAGGTGAAAACAACTCAATACTGGTGATGGACCCATTATCCGAATTTCATTGTGTGTTCGGAATGGTCGCCCTACTTGCCGAATCTCAACCCGATGGATTACAGCATGTGGTCAATTTTGGAGGCCAGGGCCTGTGTTACACGCCACAAAAGTATGTTGTTGCTGAAGCAATCGCTGCGCTGGGAATGGGATCGATTGTACCCCAGAAGACCTGCGGCCCATTGCTGAAAATTTCAAGACGCGTTTGGGCTTATGTATTGTCGTGGGAGGAGGCCACTTCGAAACCGGCTGAGTATACTATTGCAGAAGGTCCATGTTGTTGTTATTCATCATTGTTTTACTTAATTTTTGTTGGTTTAATAAAAAATGATTAAAAATATTTGTCTCCATTTTATATATATATATATATATATATATATATATATATATATATATATATATATATATATATATATATACACATATATATATATATATATATATATACATATATATATATATATATACATATATATATATATATATATACTCATTCAATGTAGCGGCACGTCTTTGTTCTACCTATATAATTAGTCAATGTATGTAGTGAAGCCCTCACAGCTATCTATTTCAGTATAACGTCATTGGTGTATGTGTGTATGTATGTATATATAAATAACAAAAAATAAACCTTAGACATAAAAGTAATTTTGCCATTAATATAAACAGATGCTGTACTGTTTCTCATCACATTTTTCTGAAGAACTACACATATATGATTCCACTTTTGTAACTCAAAAATTTCATCAGATTTAACATACATCACTGTGTTTGCTTTAGTACAGTTACTATCATCAGTGCTTATCTGTAAACATTCAACAAAAACATTTAATCAAATGTTAATAAATAAAACTTTTGTATTTCTATCATAAAAATAAAAGTTTTTTTATAAAAAAGTTTTTTAAAAAAATATATATTATAATTTTTTATAAAAAATTTATATTTTTTATAAATTATATATATTTTTTATAAAATATATATATATATATATATATATATATATATATATATATATATATATATATATATGCAAATATACATATATATATATAAGGCTCAAATAAGTGCCAGATATTGTCCGGCACTTTTCAGGTAAAAAACAACATCTATCGGCCATTTTTTCCGACTCTTATTTTATGTGCATTTATTTTCTAATCATTTTAGTTGTTCCAAAATTACTAATAAATTCAGTATTGCATACAAACTTTATTTTTTCAAACTTTTTTTAAAGTAGAACACACGGTTACGTTAATAAAATATGTCATTTTTTTGAGTTAAATCGTTTTTTTTAAAGATGTCAAAACATTAAGGTGAGTTTCCACTCATCCTTTTTTCTACGGGAACGGGATAGGAAAGGGAAAAATAATCACGTGAGCATGCGTAGTTTTACTTCGGACAAATTAAAATACGCAAGCCCACGTGATTATTTTTCCTTTACCTTTCCCGTTCCTGTGAAAAAACAGATGAGTAGAAATTCACCTTTACCTTTTTTTTAATTAAGTAGCCCGGTTTTTATTATTTATATTAAAACATTGCAATTAGTTATTAATTTAAATTTACAGTTTAGTAGTTATTTCATTTTTTGTCTGATGATTTTTATAAATTTTAAACAAATATTTTAGCTTTTAAACCCCTTTTAAATTTATTTTATAAAAGTTTTAATGTAATAGTTATTTTAATGATTATAGAAACCAGTTTTTTTATTACATTGTTAAATTTGAGTTGTTATGTAACATTTTTTCGTGCTAAAAATTTTTGCTATTAAAAGTGTTTATAAAATTAATCCTAGAAAAAGTTTGAAAAGATTTATAAAAAAAATATTTTTATAAATGTAATTATGTATAATATTCTTGATAATTTAAATAAAATGGGTTTATTGAAAACATAACTAATTTGTTACTTTATTTAATAATGCAATAAGTAAACTTAATAATTTATGTATTCAATATATTTACATAGTAATTTATGTATTTAATAATTTTGTACTTTTATTATACATTTTTATTATATGTTTATGTACTTAATAATTAAATAATTTATATATTTAATATATTTACATAATAATTTATGAATTTAATAACTTATAAAGCATTTCGCATAGTATACTGCCGTCCTAAGAAAAAACGCAGTAATCGCAAAAATTGAAAAATCGAGATTATTGCACCAAACGTTTTAACATCGTTTTCTGTGTAATAACGCTCTATATAAAAATATTGTGGTATATTCCGAAGTCATCAAACCCATAGTTCATTTTGCCGTAAGTTAAAAAAATATATACACACAAAATTTAAAAGTGGCTTTTTCTCAGAATGTCATTTTTGTTGTTTACTGCGTTTTTACTTAGGGCGGCAGTATAGTAATGTTTAAAAAATGTAACTAATATATTTTCCTTTTTAAACTTTAGTTTTTTGAGCTTAGATTTACTCTATTTCTTTGAGATTTTCTTTTTGTTAGATAATTTATCTTGAAAATTTTCTTTGTTTTCAGCCCATTCTGAAACACCTAGAGTTGTCAAAACGAATTGCGTGGTCAAGTAGTAAAAACAAAATATTTTATGTGTGGTCAGGAATGGCATTCGATTGCATCTTTAATTTTTATTGGACATGTCCATCAAACTTGAATTATTATCGGACAAATTGTCCAGAACAAAAAAGTTTCTTAATTCGAGCCCTGTATGTATGTATGTATGTATGTATGTATGTATGTATGTATGTATGTATGTATGTATGTATGTATGTATGTATATATGTGTGTGTGTGTGTGTGTGTGTGTGTGTGTATATATATATATATATATATATATATATATATATATATATATATATATATATATATATATATATATACACACACACAGGGCTATTCTAGAAAAATAATATGGGCAGCGGTACCCCCCCAAGCCATAACAAAATTTGTAGGTATTTAAAAAAAATAATAATAATTTGTCATAAAAAAAAAAAAGGTCCTTAATTTCTGAATTAGGGCGGCGCCAAATATAATCGGCGCTTTCAAAAACAACCTAGAATAGCCACTATAATATATATATATATATATATACACACTAAAGCGTGTTTTGATAAGCATTTGCTCACTTTTTTGCTTACCTTAAGCTATACCGTTTTTTTTTGAAAAAGAAGAAAAAATGAAGAATGATGAATAAAACAATTGCTTCCCCATCCCAAACCCTCAGTCGATGTAGCAACACTCCACTGTGATTCAGGCTATATGTCAGTCGATGTATGTACTGAAGCCCCCAGCAGCAGGCTATTTCAGTATGACGTCAGATTGCTTACCTTAGTACCCAATACTATTTATTTATATATATATATATATATATATATATATATATATATATATATATATATATATATATATATATATATGTGTGTGTGTATATATATATATATATATATATATATATATATATATATATATATATATATATATATATATATTTAATAATAACAATTTTTTGAAACTTTTGAAGAATATTTTTTCCAGAAAGAAAACATTTGGATAAACGCAAAATCCTAGTATAAATTTTCTTAATCAAGAAACATTTTTTGAATTTGGGTTCGATAGCAATTTTTTGAGATTAATATAACTTGACATTTTTTTCTTACATAATGCTTTAATAATTACATAATAAAAAGAAACTTTACACTTATTTTATTCTATTTTTATTTTTTTCTTATTTTTTTAGAGTTGGCAAAACTTTTTGATGCAACCACAAAATAATAAGAACAAATGTTTGTATAACAAAATAATAAGAACAAATGTTTGTATAACAAAATAATAACAACAAATGTTTGTATAACAAAATAATAAAAACAAATGTTTGTATAACAAAACAATAAAAACAAATGTTTGTATAACAAAATAATAAAAACAAATGTTTGTATAACAAAATAATAAGAACAAATGTTTGTATAACAAAATAATAAGAACAAATGTTTGTATAACAAAATAATAAGAACAAATGTTTGTATAACAAAACAATAAAAACAAATGTTTGTATAACAAAATAATAAACATTTGTTCTTATTATTTTGCAGTTATGACATTAAGTTAATTATTAAGTTAAAATTATGATTTTAACTTAATAATTTTTTTTCAATTTTTACATTTGTTTTATAAATTTTATCACAACATGGTTAAGTTAATTACTTAATTAAAAAAATTAAAAAATTTTAGTGTTTTTTACAAATTAACTAATAAATAATAACATCACTATTCCTACAATTTTTTTTTTCAACTTTTTTTTAATTCGATCTATTTGCAAATGATACAAATTAATAATAAAAACAGATATTTAATAAAGCTAAAACAAATTTAAAAATACATTTTAGTTTAGACTAGTTTATTTATAAAAAAAAAAAAAAAAAAATTAAAATAGCATAAATGCCATTAACCATATATACTCACAACTAATCTATGATTTAGAAGATCTAAAAAAACTTGGAAGACACTAAGATTGATCACTCGTTTTGATAAAACTTCCTCATAATGCTTCTCGACAGTAAATAAACTGATGTGAGAACTATTGTTTGGAAAATCAGGAACGGTTGCTATATATAACCATATCGAGAGAGATAGTCCAGTAGTAGGAGGAAATATTCTTTCACCGTTAGATGAAGAATTTATAGGTAGATTAGAAGTACCACTAATAGATTTTCTATAAGAACTCAGTGTTGTAACTAAAATAAAAATTTTAAAATAAAAATAATAGTATAAAACATTTTTATAGAAAAATTAAACATGTTATGTTTACAAATAACTAATGCATTACTTAATACATTTTGAAATTTTAGTTTTGAAAGTTAGTTTTATTAAATTATTTTATACTATTGTAAACATAAAAGTTTTACATTGAACATTCTGTGGGGTTATAGCAGGTAGAAACAAACAAGCATAGCCATCTTCATTCATATCAAATTCAATAAAAGCAGGTGGTTCTAGAGGTACTGTACTTAAAACATCTCGTGGTGTTGTTAAAGACACAACTGATTTCACTAAATTCTGAGGAAGCGGACGACCTTCAAACTTTTCACACAACCTTGCAAGTTCATCAGCAAAATTAGATTTCTTGAGAGATCCTAGATCTTTTTCTTCTGCATCAAATAATGATTCAATTCTATTGACAGCAGTTTTAATACTAACATCTACTTCATCAAGGCTATCTTGCAAAACTAATGATGGTTTTTCTTCATCTATTATATGCACATTTAAACAATTTTCATCTGAACATATCTTTAACTTTTCATCCAGTTCAATATTTTCTTCCTCAATTTTATCCAAAGAATTTTGTTTACTGTACTGACTAGAAAGATCATCTTCAATTGTTTGAAACTCGTTTATTTCAAGTAAATTTTGTGTAGTAGGTTGTTCATCGCACAAAAAATCAATTTCACCATCATAAATCTCTAGTAACATACTACAATCAACCTCATCTTTTTCTTTTGTTTTTGATATTTCTTTTTCAGGACCTCGGAGAACAGCATAAGAAGATTTACTGCATAAAGGATATCCCAAGCGTAGAAATTTTCTAAATAAAAAAATTATAAAACATCTTAAACCTCCTCAAGTATTAACTAATTCTCAATAAACATTTCAAAAATAAACCTTCTTTATATATGAAACTGTATAAATGTAACCCGAATAAAAAATCTTTGTTTGAATTGAAACTGTATCTAATATAATCTCAACTTGAGACAGAGATAATGCCGCAACGATGAATGTTCATTAAATATAAAAATAATTAAAAAAAAAAATATTGCATTATAATTCAGTGTAACAGAACAGTCAATAGTTACTGCAAAATGAAAAGCAACTGCAGAATTTAAAAAAAATAATTTTCTCAACTTAAACTTTGTAGCATGTCATGATAATAGAACTGAGAGAGCAAGAAACATGGAAGCCTAAAAAAAGTGCTTAACAAGAAAATTAAAAAAAAAAAATGTACAATATTTGATGGTAGAAAGACAAAAATAGTTGTATATGATAATGATGATAAACCTTTCTAAGAGGAGATCATAAAAGATTATTATTGTGAGTGTTTTTTGTGGGAAATATTCATTACACTTTAGAATGAGAATGGAAAAACTAAGACTTAAAAAACTTGAAAAAAAAATGATTCAACATTTTTAAAAACTTTCCCTTACACAATATAAAGAAAGCTTATGACAAATAGCAGCATGTCAGACTTTATTTAAAAGCCTTCAATATGTCAAATCCATTAGTCCTTGCCTCATTGCTTCTATACAATGTGCAATAAAACCTTCCTGTTATAACGGTTTACAAGTCAGCAGTATAACAAAAAGATCAAAAGATGAAACAAGACTGGATAATAGTCAGAAGGGTCTAACTAATCTCCAAATTTTTTTTCTGTAAAAAAAAAAAAAAAAAAAAATGAACCTGATTTAGAAGAAGAATGAGAGTTTCAGTAAGATCATAGTATAGTCAGAACAACATAAAACAAGGAAAAACTGAGCACAAGCTAGGGTGAGAGACAAGACACAAATCAAGGAGTGATGATAAGTAACTAGGATTATCTTGAAAATAAGTCACAAATCCCCTTATCTGAGTAAAGGATTGAGAAAGACAAAAACTTTGAGCTTTAGAGCCAGCGTGGTCAGTCTTTGAAATAAGAATGATAAAAAAGTTAAAAAATTAAACCTAATATCAAAATGAATAAATTTATTGAAACGTAAGTAAATACTCAGACCAAGCATGTGACTAATGGAGTCTTTGCAAATAAGGAGATGTTAGCCAACACAGAGATCTGAAATAAGAACAGACTTATTCAAATCGGTATTGCAAGAGGTAAGAATCAATCGATGGAGTTTTCTTTTAAAGACCACAAAGAGTTTTAAAGGATAGATTAAAATAATTTGGTAGTAATGACATGATTTTTTTGTTTAATATTTTGAGATTAGACCATTGGACAACTTGAATGCAACTGGTTTTATATTTTAACAATTAATGCATTTTAAAAATATGCTAAAAAAAACTAATATTAACTAAACTAAAGAGAAAATTTAAAAAAAGAAAAAAAAAACAGTTCAAAAAATAAACTTAAAAAATTAAAATTAAAAAAAAATAAACATTTAAAAGCGCTTCACCTAATACAAATACTTTTAAAAAAGTTTCAAAGTTATATATTTCAAATGTAATTATAAACGCAAAGGTTTTTTTATGTTGTTATAAAGCCAAAGAAATAATTATTAAAAAAAGCTATTTTTAATAAACAATTCCTTGTTTTTATCTACTAAACAAAGAATAAAATCATTTTTTTTTTAATTATATTTAATAAATGTGTTATAATAAAAACAAACAAAAAATACCTAAGTACTTTAGGATGCAATGACTGAGATGCTAGCCTCTCAAACAGCTTTGTTAACAAAGGATTTAGAAGATGTTCATCATTTATAAATGATTCTTTACATTTTTCAAGTAGCAATAAAGGCATTCCAGCTTCACACATAAGCTGTTGATTTACTTCTGAGTTTAGTAAGAATTGAATTTGATCAACAACAAACAGTAATATATCATTCTAAACAAAATAAAATGAATATAAATATATATATATATATATATATATATATATATATATATATATATATATATATATATATATATATATATATATATATATATATATATATATATATATATATATATATATACTATACTCAAAAAAAGTTAGGTTGAAATTTCCTAGTTTTTTTTTTTTGCCTTCTTAAGGTAAAAATGTGCACTTTAATTTTTCAGAAAAAAAAAAGAAAAAAATGAAGAATAATGAAAGAAAAGACTGCTGCCCCATCCCAAACCCTCAGTCGATATAGAACCACTCTGCTGCGAGTCAGGCCATTTGTCAGTCGACGTATGCACTGAAGCCCCTGAAATCTCCTGCCTTTCTATGGTGTCATCCACGCGCATTTATATATGTATATATATATATATATATATACACACACACACACACACACACACACACACACACACACACACACACACACACACACACACACACACAGATATATATATATATATATATATATATATATATATATATATATATATATATATATATATATATATATATATATATATATATATATATATATATATATATATATATATATATATATATATATATATATATATAGTGCTCAATTTGAGGTGGGATGCAGGGGGATGTCATCCTGTCCCCTTTTTTTAAAGTATAAACCATCACCTTTTTAAACCCAACACCTTTTTTTAACAAAATACATTTTATTAACAAAATAAATTGTACCAACAGAGTAAATCTTAAATATTTTAACAGAATAAATTTTTTTCACAAAATAAATTGCATCAACAGAGTAAATCTTAAATATTTTAACAGAATAAATTTTTTTCACAAAATAAATTGCATCAACAGAGTAAATCTTAAATATTTTAACAAAATAAATTTTGAAATTTGAATATAAATTCTTAAGAGCTGAATATCTCAAGAATTTATGAATTTTCTGAATAGACATAAAGAGTTTTTGTGAAACATAGAAAAAAAAAACTATATTCTCAAATACAAATACTTTTTGTTACAAGAAATTATACCTCTTGACAGCCATCTATCACAAAAAGTGGTAATAGTTCAACCAGACCATTAATTGAAGCTGGATGGATAATTTTAGGAACTTTTTGCAAAGACAAAAAATGTTCAGATTTTAAAGTGAAACTATCAAAAATGCCGATCCCCATACTTAGTATTGCTTTGAAAATCACTAACTGCATATACTTTTGTCCATTCTTCTCAACAATTGGTAAATCCACAGTGTCACCTTTTTGAATTTTGGCAGATGAGAATAAAAGATTTTTAAATGATACCTTGCTATTAGACGTAAAACAACCTAAAAGCTTTACAGTATCAATTAAGCCTTTAAAGCGTATTTTATCCATAAAAATAAGCTTATTTATTGGTTCGTCTTTCATTGCACATGTGAGAACATTGAACACCATCCATATAACTTCAAGCAAATTTTCACATTTTGCTAAAAATAATTACAATACTATTATAAAAATGCAATATATATATATATATATATATATATATATATATATATATATATATATATATATATACATATATATATATATATATATATATTTACACATATAAATTTATATATTTACACATATAAATATATATATTTACATATATAAATATATATATATACACACATACATATATATATATAAATAAATATATATATATATATATATATATATATATATATATATATATATATATATATATATATATATATATATATATATATATATATATATATAAATGTATGTATGTATGTATATAAACATATATACATAATATATATATGTATGTATGTATATAAACATACATACACAAAATACATTTAGTATTAAAGAATAAATCTGTGACTTAATTTTTTGCTTTTGTTCTTTTGATATATTTACTTAATAATATTACACTGTTAACTTAATTAAGAAACAGTTTACAGTTTTAGTATTTCTTGATATTTTTAACTATTAAATTATTTTTTTTTACACTTAACTCATTTTTATTTTTTTTATTTTAAGAAATTAAGAGATTATTAGGGTAAAGCAGGGTCAAACTGCACACCATATCATTCCTCACACTGATAAAAATTATTAAATAAAAACTGAACAGACATAACTATGAAAAAAACAAAAATAGATTCAAAAACATTATCTCCTCTATTCGAATTGATAAAATTATAAATCAATTTAACTCCATTTTTATTCTTTTTTTTTTTTTACAACTTTAAAGGGGAGTCAAAAATATAGAAGTTTTAAAGGTGGAACAAAAAATTTTTAAAGCTAGAACAAAAAGTTAAAAAGAAAATCAAAAAAGTAAAAAAAAAATCTTTTTTCTGATAAAACCACAAATTCGATTAATTACTTAATTTAGTTTTTCACAAGTGACTAAGAGTCTGTATTTAACTAATTAACTTAGTGTTAATTTTGGTTAAATTAACTTAGTGTTAACTCTGGTTTAATTAAAAATAAATTATAATGTTATTTGTCAACACAATTATCACTAACTCATTAAAAACTTCTCAATATTATTATCACTCAATTCAACTCAACTAATTCACTCATAAATGTCAACTAAAAACACAAAAACATACAAAGAAGATGATATACAAACCGCATAACTGATCATCATCACTGAGAGAAGCTTTATTTAGATAAAGCAATTAGTCTAAATACTTGAAAATTGCAAAAATAACAACAGCAAAAGTTTACAAAGGTTTTTCGGGAGATTAAGGCAAATCAACGATAGTGTGTCAAAAAGGGACAAGAAGTGAATTTAAACTTACTGGTAAGAATGAAAAAATTTATTATACTGTGAACAATTGCAATGTTGATGGGTAATTATTACCACCATTTGTGGTATATAAAGCCAAAACAAAACTTTCATCCTGATAGGGCAAGAGGTGGTCTGATTGGGACCAAATACTCAGTTTCAAAATCACGTTGGATGGAGCACAATACATTTATTGAATGAATGAAAAAAGTATTTATGCTTGAAACTGAGCAAATTGTTAGTATTCATATTTTAGGACTAGATGGGCATACAACTCACATGACTTTGGAAGCGGTACTTTTGTGCTAAAAACACACTCTAATCTTGATACCTTATGAATCATAAATTATAAGGCATTAGGAATGACACAAACATTTAATTCACCATCATCATCTATAACAGCCTCTGCAGCACCTATACTATCTTGCTCTATGTTTTTTAATTTTAATTTTCTAAATGTAATTTTCTATTCACATTGCATTTGTAAAGTAATTTTTGTTCACATTTCATTTGCACATTTTTTATTTAAATTGCTTTTCCACATGCAATTGGTTAAAATAGTAAACATTTCAATTCACTGCAACAATTTCAAACTATTAAATTTCTTAATGCAAAACCGAAAAAAATGTTCTAGAATAAATCAAATGACATAAAGCTAATAATTCATGTCAGTGCTTTATTAATTCAAGACTTATTAATTTTTACTGTTAATTAAACTAAAAATTTTACTGTTCAAGTTTTTTTCTTGAACTAAACATTTTTATCAAAAATATTTTATAAAAAGTCAATTAAACAACCTATCATTTTTTGCCTCCCAAACTCTTGAACAAGTGTAATTTTTACTGACATGACTCTTATTATAAGCTGAGAGTGCGTTGCTTATTTCCCCCCACCCCCTGAATACTTTTCAGACCAGATTTACCACAAAAGAAACTTTTATCTAGACCAAACCTTTACAAAATACAAAATACAACCAATACAAAAAGCCGTACCCATTTTATCACTAGTTTTGCAGACAGATATACATACATACATACATACATACATACATACATACATACATACATACATACATACATACATACATACATACATAAACATATACATAAACACATACATAAACACATACATAAACACATACATACATACATACATACATACATACATACATACATACATACATACATACATACATACATACATACATACATACATACATACATACATACATCTGTCCTCGGAATTAGAAAAAATAAGGTCAGCAATATTTTGTCGACCTTAAACTGTTAGAGGTCAGCTTTAGGTTTACAAAAAAAATTTGGTACAAAAGTTTTACCATTAAAAACATAGAAATGAGGTCGGCAATTTTTTACTGACCTAAAACAGTTCTAGATCAGCAGTTAGGTCGGCATTGCTGAATGCCGACCTTTTAAATGATTTCAAGGTTCTTTTAGTAAAAATTTAAGATGAAATTCCTGACATTCTCCTCCATACCAGCAGAGAACTTTTTCAAGAGAGTTCATATGTGTATCAAAGAAAAAGTAGAAAGATTTAAAATCAATTATTTTTTTGCATTATATATTAATGAAACTTACAGAAAAATATAGTTTTTATAAATCAAAATAGTCCTCTAGTTTTTCTAACACAACTGCGGAAGAAGTTGCACAGTTTTTACTTCAGCACAGTTGCAACTGTGAAAGAAGTTTATGTTAATACAGAACTCATTGATGAGTCGCATTTTACAATTAAACAAAAAAAAATTATAATTCAGGATTTTACTCACAACCAAAACATGTAAAATATAAACGCAAAAGCTAAAAAAAAAATTCTTGTTAGGATAATCCATACCTGTTCATCTCTTAAACATTTATTGAATTTTATTATTTAACTCATGTATCTACAGAAATTAAGCATCTTTACAACATTGTTAATCAATGAATTTGATCAGCAAAAATGTAGGCACAATCAGTGTCTAGAAAATTTGAACTGATTTTTGAATGCATGATTTTGATTTGTATAAAATTGAAGCGTTGCTAATAGACAATTCCATCTAGTTTTGGAATCTACGGTTAAGCATTATTTACCATACTTAAGGTTTACTTAATTCTGTAGTATCTCATCGCTATATTTTTTAATTTATTACAAAACCCAGAGATAATTTTTTAAGATACTCCTATCTTCTGGTGTTTCTTTTTTAATAGAACATCTACAGCTACAAGTTGAATTGCATGGACCAAACACAACTGCTGTGTAATTGGTACTAATTTTCCAACTTTCTGTTTTTTTTTCTTTTCTTTTAATTTTCCACTTGATCCAGAGAAGTCCAAAATACCAATATTTTGACTCAAAGCCAAGATTTACATTTATGTAAATTTCTCAATAATAATACTGAAACCTTTTTCATTTAATTTATGTTTTGATCTTTAATTACTATTATTTGACAGTATTTGAAGAGAAATTTTTTTACTATTGAAAGTTTCGCTATTGACAATTTTTTGTATAGATTAAAGAAAACTATTTCTTTAGTTATAAGTCTGGTCAGAAAAGTATTCATAAGTTTTTTTCATTAAAACTTAATTAGGTTTAGTATCATCTTAAAACATTTTTTTTTGGTTTGACAAAGTAATTTACTGTAAAATACCGTAATAAATTAAAATACCGCTACAACAAAAAACAATATGATGGCCACTTGTCATTCAATTTCCCTTTAGCAAACCAAAAAATCATGCTTGGTATATTGTTTTTAGGAAAGTGTACAGCAAAAAGTTTTTACAATTTTAATAAGTTTTTAGGGAAAACCTAGATGCAACTGAAATTGATTCATTCTCATGGAATAGTGTTGATAAACTGTTCATAAATAAAAGTTGGAAGATGTTTTTTTTTTTAACTTTATTTTTAGAAGGACAAGGGGGGGGGGGGGGGGAAAGGGGGTTTTTCTGATTTTGCCTAATTTGTAATTAATTTGCACTGTAATTTGTAACCACCCATATGAGTTTAAATTTAATACTAACAGTCTTGTACAAGACATTTTATTTGTTTGTTCTATAAATTTTTAAGAATGTGTGTGCTTTGGTTTGTTTTATTTTCTAGAGAACCTGGTATCTCTTGATACCACAATCGCTTATAATTATTGCTTAACTTACCACTGCTGCTGCCCATTCGTGTGCATTTACACAGACTTTTTTACCATTTATTATAAATAGGATTTAGCATGCTTCTTTTCTTTACACTTTTGAACTCACGCGATGAGGTACTCTCATCTTAATAATCAGTCAATATCTGATTAATCAGAATAAGATCGAAAACTTTGCTTCATCAGCTTATTTAGTGATGAGATTGACAATTTTTATTTGATAACTTCTGTAGTAAAAGATGAACCTTATGTTATTTGAAAATAACATTAGTTTTTTAATTAGTAAAGTAACTTTTATTTAATTCATAATAATAACATAATTCAAGTACTTTGTCAATTTTATTTAAAGTATATTAATCTGTAATTTTTAAATTAGAAGGCAATGATGACTCTAGGAAACGTTACTCTTTTCAAAGGTCAAATCCTTGATAAAGTTAGTGTTTATCTCCAAAACCCTTGCATCTCACATAATACATGTTAAAGAACAAGACCATTAATACCTTACTTTAAAAACGAAAAAAAAAATCTGTTTGCTTTTATATAAAAAA